CCTTTGTGCTGATGTGAGATAAGATTTCTTCATCTAATTCCTCATAACATTTGTAAACGTTCATTCACTATGGAGAGGAAGGTCAGTTTAATACACATACAAGAATCTGTTGTCTTCAACTGAACTTGTGTCTCAACATTTTTCTGTCTGTATTCAGACATGTCACAGGGAATACTTGACACTGCCGAACCCTAAATCCCAGGACAAGAATTTATCTGATTCCAGTCGAACACAGCACACACTAAAAGTGTCTTTGAGGCCTTTGGATGGACAGAGCTCCAGTAAGAGGACCTTCATGGTAAGTCTTTATTAAACGCTACCGAGATTGACCCTCTGGTACCGAAATGTTTTATCATATATTTAGTACTGACGAAGCAAAGGAAAAGTTGACATATTGTGCACAGTGGTGGAAGGTAACTAAGAGCATTTACTCAAGTGATGTACTTAAAGGAGCAGCATGCAACATTCAGAGCATCAATATAGCAGCAAACAATTAACCGAAGTTATAATGGGCTTTTAATTTTATACAGATACAGGAAGTGTTGAGTTTGAAATGACGGAACGATGCATTAACTTTATCAAGGCAAACGGGAGCGGATCAAAAGTAAAAATAGAAAAATACAGGGGGAATAATAAATAACGGCCCGTTTATAATGTAGTCTGTTCCAAATGAAGCTGGTAGCCTCTGCAGTTGTGGTGCCCCGCCACTATTTTTAAATTTAATTACTTTATGTCCGTCTCCATAATGAAGAAACAACATTCTTTGCTAGCTTGATGCTAATGGCAGTACAGTGGCTCTGCTGTTTCACCATCATTTTTCCTTTTTGACTACAGAGCAGATCGCTCTGTGTTTCTATTGGTCAAAGTCACGGTTGTGACAAGAGCAGCTGTGAACGACAAAAAGAAAATCAAACATGCTAGACTTCCTGTCAGGCATCGTGAGGCGTCCAAGATGTGGTGTCGGTTGTCGTCTACTATGACACACTACACGAGACGAAACGATGGATTATCGCGTACGACACTCATTGTCGTTCACGATCCGAGCCGACACTGTACGTCACTACGTCGGGCTACATTCGGGCTGATATCGTGAATTTTGGGGTTTTAACTGAGATTTTTTTAATGTGCAAATTAAAAATAATGCACACCTACAGATATGCTCTTAATGTCGCATGCAGCTCCTTTAAGTACAATTTAGGAGTAGACCTACTTGTATTTTACTTGAGTATTTTCATTTTTATGCTACTTAATACTTGAAATCCACTACATTTCAGAGAGAAATATTGTACTTTTTACTCCACTTCATTTATCTGAAAGATATATTTACTTTTCACATGAAGATTTTACATTAAAAGAACCCGATAAGATTATAAAATACAATGCATTGCTTACATTAATAGGCATTTCCTTACATCTTTGGCTTGTGACTCCTTACAAAATAATAGTAACCCCTCTCAACTTTTCAAATAAACATGATTTAACAAAAAGCAAAGATTAGACAAAGTCCAATATGTGTATGAGTACATAAATGTTTTCTTTTTTGTTTCCTGCTCCATTAATCATCCAACAACCCCTCAGACTGATCTTGTGACCCTTTGGAGGGGTGGGACCCCTAGGTTGGGAACCACAGGATCAAACTACCTGTCTGTACTTTTACTTTTAAAACTTTAAAGCACAGTTGGCTGATAAAAAAGATTTTTAGTACACAGCTTTTTCACTGCTGTTCTGGTATTTTACCTAAATAATAGATGTGAGTACTTCTTCCACCACTGATTGTTAATAAAATAATAAATACAAACAGTAAATGCTTCACTAATATCTCTGTATGACCCCTTGTAGCGCCAGGCTCTGTCACAGGAGAACCTATGTGTGGACAGTGGAGGCCCCCTGCTGGACAAAAGTCAGAACATGTGGGAGCAGAAGATGCAGCGTGCAAAGCAAACAATGAGCCACTATTCATCTTTTCCTCTCCGCTCAAGTGTTTCCACTCATGACATCCTCTCAGATAATTGTTCTCCTACAAAACAGCAGCAGGGCAGTCGTACAAGTGGAGCCGGTGTCTGGAGAACTCCTTTCTCACAACATCCAACACCGACGCCATCCAACCAGCCAGTACGCATAGACATCCCTGTGACCAGAGCGGTGAACGCACACACAAATCCTCCTCTCACCACCTTCCAGAGTTCATCTCTGCTGGCTGTGAGGATGAGCCAGACCCTTAAACTAAATGGAAGTAAAAACAGTCATGTTTATGCCTGTCCCATCACTGCAGTGAAGAAGCTGCCTCACACCTCACATTTGTCATCACAGCAGAGATCCACCACACCCAGGGATCAAGCTGCAAAGCCCCAAGTAAGCATCACTCCAACAAAACACGTCTCCTTCCAAGAACCTCCCACTCAGCAGAAGCAGGGATCAGCTCCTACAAAGCCCAGAGACCCTCGGGAGCTGTGTGACCCCTGGAGGAGGGAGGCCCAGGAGAAGCTGGAGGAGCAGCAGAGGCTCCATGTGGTGCAGCTCCTGGAGCAGGAGGTGCAGGAGCTCCAGGGTAAAGCCAGGCGCACAGCGGAAGAGAACGACCGGCTCCGAAGGCTCAGCCTGGAGTGGCAGTTTCAGAAGAGGCTGCAGGAGATTCAGCAGAGAGGAGAGGATGAGGAGGAAGATGAAGATTTGGACATGATGGTGACGATACAGCAGCTGGAAAGAAGAACACAGGTGAAGCCTGGCACAATTAAAGGGAAGATCCGCTTTAAAATACCTGAAGAATCTAAAAAAAATCTGATGTTACCAAAAGCATTCTGGGAAATGCAGTAAAATCACTAAAGTAGATTAAATGGAGAGTCTGACAGCACTATGGAAATGATCCCTACAGAGACACACCTTTTTCTTACAGAGTAGGATCATTTTTGTTTAACTAGAAACAACCATAAAATTACTCGTTAAACCCACCAGACTCCATTTAAATAAACAACAGTGAGTACAAAAAACAAGGTCCATGATCACATATTAATCATATATAACAGATTAAAACTACACATGAGTAACATATCTACCAACTCTGTATATAGACACTATTAATTTTATGACTATAGAACATATATCACACATTAAAACATGTTTATAACGTCTCAATCTGAGTTATACTAAAACTTTATATTAACTGAAAATGTATTCATAAGCTGCATAATTAAGTCAAAAATGTTATCTTAAAAATTGTCCCAATAACTTATGTCAACAAACAATTACATCTGTGACTAAAAAAAAGAATTAAAGCTGATATATAATTTAAAAAAAACCCTCAATAATCTATAACAAATGATTTCTCTTCCACATTAAGACCAGGAGAAACTCTGCTGGGAACACCGAGTTGAAAGAGTTGGAAAAGCAGGCGGGAACTCATCCCTCCCAACAGGAAGACAAAACTAGGACAGGTATGTTCGCTAATAAAAAATTACAAATACAAAATCATATAATTTGTTATTAGTTTATTCACAAGAGTCTGTGCTCATCAAACATATTATTCATTTTATTGTACATTGCAACATTCCCATATTTTTGGCAGATCAAAGAAGAAGCGGACGGAGTCAGGACTTTAACAACATGGCAGCAAAAGAGTGAGTTTAAAATTTAGTCAGATCTAACAAGCAGCTATTAATGTAGCATTTCTACTCATGATGACTTAAAGGTCCAGTTTGTAGGATTCAGAGGCTTCTATTAGCAGAAATGGTGTATAATATTTATAACTATATCTTCATTCACTTCTAATCACCAGAAACTGAGGATCATTTGTTTTGTTTTTTGTTATCTTAGAGTGACTCATTTATATCTACATATGAAGCTGGTCCTCTTACTGGAGTCCGCCATGTTGTTTCTACAGTAGCCCAGAACAGACAAACCAGACACTGGTTCTGGATAGGATTAACCACCGTAGTTCTCAGTGTTAGATGCCACTGAATCCTACACACTGGACCTTGAAAACATTTAAATCCTGTCGAATCTAACAAGCTTATGTAGCATTTCTACTAATGATGACTTAAAGGAGTATTTCACCCGCAAAATGACCATTCCGCGATGCCAGGGATCAGTACGCTGAGGGCCTGGCCTCTGCCTGCCGCCCAGCACCCAATGCACCAGACCCTGAATCCTGACCCTGCGGGTGTTGAGCCCACAGGGCGACGGCTCTTTGTTATCTGTTTGGGCTGAGCCCACCCGGGCCCCATGGCCCAAGTCCCAGCCACCAGATGCTCGCTGGTGAGCTCCATGTTGGGAGAGAGTCACTGCCTCAAGAAAAGGAGTTCAAGTATCTCAGGGTTGTGTTCACGAGTGAGAGTAGAGTGGAGAATGAGATGGATCAGTGGTTTGGTGCGGCCTCTGCAGTGATGCAGGCCCTATGCCCGACCATTGTGGTGAAGAGGGAGCTGAGCCAGAGGGCAAAGCTTTTGATTTACTGGTCCATCTACGTCCCAACCCTCACCTATGGTCATGAGCTCTGGGTAGTGACCGAAAGAATGAGATCACAGATATAAAGCGGCCAAAATGAGTTTCCTCCGTGGGGTGTCTGGGCTCAGCCCTAGAGATAGGGTGAGGAGCTCGGACATCTGGAGGGAGCTCTGAGTAGAGCTGCTGCTCCTTCACATTGAAAGGGGTCAGTTGAAGTGGTTTTGGGCATCTGATCAGGATCCTCCTGGGCGCCTCCTGTTAGAGGTGTTCCAGGCACATCCCACTGGTAGGAGGCCCCGGGGCAGACCCAGAACACGCTGGAGGGACTACATATCCCATCAGGCCTGGGAACGCTGGAAAGCGTTGCTGGGGAGAGGGACATTTGGGGTGCTTTGCTCAGCCTGCTGCCCCTGCGACCCAGCCCCTAAACAGATAAAAATGGATGGATGGAAAATTACCATTTCTGTAACAATATTTCACTGTTTCCTTGAATATGTGAAGAAAACTTTTTTTTCTCGCATTCCTCTACAATGAACAAAGAATCCAAAATAGGCAAACACTGAAGTAAATGGAGACCACATTTAATAACTGCAGAAGTATATCGAAACTCTCACACAACTTGTGCAATATAATCCAAGCCTCATTTATCCAGTCGTATGCTCAGGACTTCCCAAACACATGCAACTGGCCTTAAACAGGATTTAAACACGTCAGTACAAAATGTCTCATGAATGGCAGAGTAGCATGCTCAGGCACACTCAGGGCATGCTGCTAGTAGGCAGAAGTGCTTTAAATCATGTTTCAGTGAAAATGAATGCGTTTGGGAAGTATCGGGCATACTTTTTTTTCTTCAACAATTCATGGTAGCAAAAGGTGAGTAACTGATATGCAAATGGTCATTGTGTGGGTGAAGTATTCCTTTAATGACACATATATATCCGTACACAGTTGTGTACGGTCCCCACAAGCCTCTGAATTAAGTTTGCTTTTAAAACAGTGAGACATAACAGCAATTTATCCTTCCAAAAACTTTCAAAGTGTATGAAAGAGATCCCTGAGTAAAATACACTCTATAAATATAGTTTTAAAACAGCACAAGCTACTGTTTATGACCCCACACATGAATTCCCATTAGTACTATTCAAGTATTCCTGCTAATATCAGTGTTTATTTACAGAAGCCAGGAGGAGAAAATCAAGAGAGCGTCGGCTCCTGAGAAGCTCACATTCAAGGAGCGTCAGCGTCTCTTCTCTCTGGCGTCCAGTGCTTAAATAAAGGTTAAAGCCTTGTAAACAGAAACTTCGAAGGAGCAACATGTTCACATAAACAGAAGTAATGATGTGATAGCAAAAGGACAGTATACAGTACCATGTTAATGACAGTGTGAGGATGTATTCACTGTAGTTGTAGTGTGTAGTATTGTAAATTCTAGATAATAAAGAGTTCATTTGGCAATATGATCGAGGTTTTAAGCTTATCAACTGTAAAACTTGTGCTACCTCTGCCTCCTCTCAGAAGCAGAACAGTTACCTGTGTGAAAGCTACTTTGTGCGCTGATAAAACTGTACCACAGCTTTCTCTTGTTCGTGAGTTTCGATCGAGCCCTGTCGCAGCCTGCGGATCTCATTGATGGCGTCAATGCCCGATAGCTTCCTCGTCTTCACCAGGTAGCAGGCCAGCATGGTACCTGTTCTGCCATGTCCATGCATGCAGTGTACTCCCACACCCTGAAGAGGAAGAATGCAGGGTTTACTTTGGTTAATCATCAGTAACGCAGCACACAATGTCTTTATTAGTCGTTGCTAGGAGACAGGAATTTAGATTTTGTTTTTGCAAGTTGAGCTGATGCAGGAAGTCAGTTTATTAACAAATCCTTGACTGGCTGCTTTTCTTCGTCTTGTGTGATGTTAAACTGAATATTTTTGGGGTTTTAAACTTTCAATCAGACAAAGCAAGCAATTTGAAGACATCATCTTAGATCACGCCCACAGGCCACATCTGGCCTAAAGGACAACCTCCAACTGGCCCAGCATATAAAATCTGATACACCACTATGACTGAAATATATAAACTACATATAGAGTCCTGAAGTAGCTAATGAGTGAGCCATCCTGCTGCCTTCTTATCTGTGTGGAGTTACACATGCTCAGTACCAAACGGGCTGGGTGTACAGATTGGTATAGTGACATGGCCAATCACATCTTTCACAAATTAAGTGTTTTGTGACACAGTTTCAGCAGCTTACTCCTCTTTTGCTTTTTGATTGATGCACTCTGGAGGAGCTGTAAGGTTGTGAAAGACAGTTTCTCTTCCACTGGTCCAGGAGATTCATCAACCTGATGCCAAATGTTTTAGGTTTCATTGCTTGTGAGCCTGCGTACAATACTAGACTCAACCCTGGAGAGTCCTGAAAGAACTTTATAACCATCCATCAAGCACAGAGCTCTTACCTCCCCCTTGGCGTTGGCCTGCTCCACGATGGAGAGAAATCTTTCGATCTGACTCAGTGAAGGAGACGTGAAGTCCGCTATCTTGATGTGGTGCAGCTTCAACTCTGGGCACGTGTCATGGTGAGGTGGTTTTCTCTCACACAGGCAAACCAGGTGTTTGATGCCGTTGTCCAGCAGGTAGCGGTATTCACATGGCATCCTGGGTAGGGCCAGTCCGGCCACTTTGTTTGGATCGACCCAGGAGAAGTTGTGTGGAGGCGTGGAGGCCATGATTGTCCAGCTAAGAGGATGGGACAAAGACAGAGGCAAATCAAGCCAGTTTATTTGCATTGCAACAAGCAATGCTGAAAACCTGCCATGGAAATGTGGATGGAAGATCAGAATCAGGATCAGAACAGATAATTGTGAATTATAAATGCAGGAGGCCAAAGGCAGGACTGACTTCCTGTGGCGCTCTGTGGTGCATCTTGGGGGAATGAGTCTATCACTGAATTCAGTGGAGTGGGTGGGAGACATTGTCCAAGATGACATGTATATTAGACAGCATCCTCCTCTCTGCCACTGCCACCATCGAGTCCAGCTCCACTCCCACTACGTTACTGGCCTTGTGAATCAGTTTATTGAGTCTATTGGCGTCTGCTACCCTCAACCTGCTGCCAAAACACACAACAGCAAACAGGATAGCACTACATCACAAAACATCCTCAGATGTAGAAGTCCCTCAGCCTGAGTTCCCTCTCCGTGGTTTAAAAACACACACGGATATGCCAGGGTTAAAGGCATTAGGAAAGAGGATGCTCAGGCTATCTGTCAGCACCATATAGTTAATATACAGCCAGGTGAGACTGCAACCAATCCAACTTGACATTGGCATTTTGTAAGATAAGAAGAAGAACAAGAAAAACCTTGTTTTTTATTATAGGTAGCTGCATTTGTCTGCAAAAGAAAGAGCTACCACTGCTCTCTCTGATTGTATGAGTGTGTGTTGAGGTGAGAGCAGAGATGGCGGTACTGAAATTAAATAATTTTATTTCTACCTCAGGCCTACTCCTGAGCAGCAGTTAAAGTGAAACTTCACCGCAGTGGTAGAAAGTAACTAAGTACATTTACTCAAGCACTGTACTTAAATACAGTATTCACATATTTGTACTTTACAAATATTTCCATGTTAGTTTTTACTTTTAACTTCATTACATTTATTTTAAAAATGCAGTTAATTTGCAGATTCAGATTATTACTACAAAACGTAAATATAAATAACAATGTATTAGGGACTGTTCTTCATTTATGAGGGGGCCAGGGGTGGTGCAAAAAGGGGGAGGCATGTCAAGTAATATTTTAAGCATTGGGGAGAAAGGTGAAAGGTGCATACTATTTTAAATGGTTGCATTTTGTAGGGCTGCCCCCCAATGGCCGACCAAACGTTAGTCGACCAGAAAGGTCGAAAGGTTTAAAAATATATTTTTTTAAAAAAAAGTGAAACTCTATTGTCAAAATAAATCAAAACCTATATGACTGGACCATGTGGGAATTTAATTTGAAAGGACAGACACAGGAAGTGTCCACACTCAGCAGTCAGACAGGAGTCAAGTTAATTGCATTGCATTGATAATTATGATCCAATAATATGTATGATTCTGAAATGGGCCATTTTGCATTATGAGTCATTTTATTTGGTACTTTAAGTATATTTTGATGATAATACTTTTGTACTTTTACTTAGGTTAGAGTTTGAATGCAGTACTTCTACTTGTAACAGACTCTGTTGTAACAGACTCTGTTACAAGTAAAAGTACTGCATTCAAACAGTGTAGAAAACTCTGAGAGTTTTCTACACTGTAGAATTGCTACTTTTACTTACAGGTAAAGGATCTAAATACTTCTTCCACCACTGCTTAACTGCCCACAACTTCATTAAAAAAAATAAGCTGTATGTTCTGTAACAACAGTGCTGTTGTCCAACGTTTACTCGTCTAAAGGTTTGCAACATTGATCTGATCGGTGCTGATCAATCCGACAACAACAACAAACTGATTGACTGATCAAACTCAACAAACTGCTGTTGAGGAAAATAAAAACTTTGCCTTCACTGTACCACGAAAAAACACACACACACACACACACACACACACACAGGGCAAACAAAATTTGTCTCTTTCTAAAATAGTGTCAGCAGTGTAGAGGTGAGTAAATAAGTGAGTGTCGTTAACAATAACCATAAGTTAAAGTCAAATAACTCACATAAAAACCTTTGGATAAGAGCACAGTATTTACCCTCAAAAAGTCACGGAATACATTGCTACAAAAACTGATTTAGTGAAGTTTTAAAATAATACTTTTAAACTCTTTAAATATAAATGTCAACTAATTTCCGGGTTTTAGGATTCATTACTAAAAAAACTGCGTCACTGTTTGCTTTTTTCTTACCTCAAGGTGCCCCCCCTTTAGTATAGAGCAATATAATCTAGTATACAATAAAGCCCAACAGTTGTAGCGAGCATTTTTAGTAAATATTACCTTTCCAACGAGTTGAATAATTCCTGATAAAGTGGTTAAAGAGATCGTGAGAAAACAGTCCAAAAAGTAAACATCTGCTGACTCACAGGAGTGAAGCTTTTGTTCAGCCACCATCTGCGTGCTGGATAGACCAGTGCAGTGTCTCATGGACGGATTAGTTTTAATAACATGAGGGCTTGATTTGGAAATACTCTGTAGATCTCATCAGACTCCACCTCTTCCTTTTCTTCCTCTTTCTTTCTTGTCTCTTTTTTCTTTATGTGTTTATTAGACAGATATCAGACCAGATAATTTAATAGACTCCCTAAAAGTAAAAGAACAAAACAAGAAGAGGTAAAGATAAAACAATTATTGAAACAGGGTGCAAGCAGCAACTTGTGGTGCAAATGCAACATTAATAAAAGTGACATGTTAAACTAAAATAACATTGCATGAAGCAAGCAACACATCAGCATTAAGCAGTATTAAGCAGTGTTAGTATTTCCAGCGGTGGAAATGCTTTCTTTTGTCTAGAGTTTTAAGTGTCTGTTTGCATGAAGACTTTAATCTTTGACTAATAGATTGATAAGATGGCTGTCTGCTATGGCAACAAGTAAACACTGTCACCAAGGGCTGGACTATCAGCTCTACTCAGGCATTGATCTGTTGCTTTGACATCGGTGGGAAGCTAATTTGTAGTTGTTTTATACCTGATCAGCTGAAATATATAATTAAGAAAAATAACTATTCATACTCGCTGCTACATCAGAATTCTCAGTCAGTCACGTGGTTATGTGAGGATCATGTTATTCGATTTTTCAAGCACATTCAACAGTATCCGACCCCCCATACTCAGAGACAAACTTGAGGAGATGGGGTTGGATCCCTCCCTTACTGCCTGGATTTCAGACTATCTGACAAGATGACCACGGTTCGTCAGGCTGGAGAACTGTGTCTCTGGGAAAGTTGTGAGCAGCACTGGAGCTCCACAGGGGATTGTTCTATCTCCATTCCTGTACGCACTGTACACAACGGACTTTAAATACCAGTCTGAGTCCTGCCATGTTCAGAAATACCGTGATGACACACAGCACTCTGATGAACAGAGTTCATCTTGCTGATATTTAAGTATAATTTGTTGCATTTAAACCATGTATCCACCTTCATCAGTTACTCATTTAGACTATTTTGCAAATCATTTAGATTTTTATTAGACAAAAATAAATTTGTATCATCATCAGCGACTAATACTTTGTGAAAAATGCTAATGGGAATTTTCAAAATCTTGAATATACAGTATGAAGAGGAGTGGCCCTAAAATTGATCCCTGGGGGACACCATATTTGCTGATTTTACTTTGACCATTCACATACACATACTTCTTCCTTCCATACATATAACTTGTGAACTAAATAAACACCGTGCCTCTGACACCATTATGTTGATGTTTGCTTAGTATTTCAAAGTCATTAGTAAGGGCTCTTTTTGTATTAAAAGCGAGCCCTGAGCAGCAGTTACTACAAAAATATGTTAAAGCATGAACACCTGAAACAGCTGGGAAATTCTAAACCAGTTATACTCAAATCCATTTAAAATGTACTGTCACTTCCCATATATCTGTATTTGTGGTGTCTTGCCTATAACTAATGTTTAGACTGATGGAATAAATGTCTTAGGACCATTTAGTAGTCAGCATTGGGGTAGTTAAGTTTGGGGGTTAGGAGTTTTGTCATTTATATATGTCGCTGTATATTACATGCACTTTCTTTTTCCTAAAGCTAGCCAATGCCTTAGTAAACATAATTTAAAATACTGTAGTGAGGAAAGTGAGTCCTGTTTGCAACTTTTAGTGATGCTGGCAACGAAGAAACTAAGTAGGGGAGCCATTTCTATGCTAGGAAGGGAGGCTGGATGCCTCCTTTAGGTAGCAAGGGACCTGGGTTTAGAAGGTGCCCTTTGCCAGTGTTTTCTGGAGCTTCAACTACCCTGTTGCAACACATTACCTCACGCCGCCACGCCACTACAAACAAGCTGTGCACCATCACTGCCTCAATGTCCTGGCTGCATCAAGTGCTTGTTACTGTGGGCACTTACTGACTCCATGGGAGGCCCCATTTTCGTGTCGTTGCCAGGGTGGGAAATATAAGTTCAAAAACTTTAATTCTTAATGTTAGATGTCGTTTTGTAAGAGTTATTGTCCTAGTCCTTTTATGATTTGTTTTAAGGTAGCTTTTAATGATTTGACACCCTGCCAGGGGCCCAATAAGAGGCAAGACTAGTGACTCGGGTTCCCCTCTGCCTCCCCCTAGTGGTTGAAATCGTTTTGACCGGCCTACAGTTTGGAGCCTCATTGATTGCTGGGTGTTTTGATATTGTGTACCAGTAGTGTACAGTGTTTCTCTGAATTTTTATGAATTTGTATTTTCAAAAAAATACTATTTTTGTATTCTAAACCAACTAAAATGTATAGCAATACAATTTGCTTTAAGTCTGGGTCTCTATTCTCAAGCTTTAGAGAGCTTATCAGGGTGTCCTACTTCACATCTTCATTTTTTCTCATGAAATCAGATTGAACTCAGTGGTTTCAGTGTAGTGTGGTTTAACATTAACTTACGTTAGTCTGTGACCAGCTCTTCAAACAGTGGTGTACAAATAGATGAGAAAATAAAACAAAAGCGTAGCATCTAGTTTAACGTTAGCTAACTTAACCTATGAACAAATTAAGAAACCAACTAGCTAAACAAACAGAAGCTGCCATGTATTGACCACTAGCACAGAGTCGTTGCAGTGTACCGTTACGTTGCTGAAAATGCGACATAAAGCTTCGCCATTAGCTTAACGTTAACTGTTTGTCCGTCTATTAAGTTATGCCTATCTATTTATTACACAGCCATGTATCAGTACACCGTCTCTCCCACAAAGTACTCCCAAAATTACTCACAGTTTCCCCGTGTCAGAGGACTGGATATTCGCTGCTGGTCGAGCCGGTGCTTCCTAACGGATCGTTACCATAATGGCTCCCTCTACCTCACAGAGGGAGCCGTTTACTACAGCATGCTAACTGCTGAGATAACGGCACCGTTATGTAACCGAAGCTAGCTGTCGCAATGCTAGTCAGAGAGCAGCGTAGCCTTTAGCTGACCTTTAGCCAAAGTTAGCGTCTCATCAGGGTGGACAGCTGTCGGTATAAATCAGGTCTGAACAATATAATGAACCAAAATGGCGGATTAAAGTTAGCTTGTGGAAATACTGTTAATTTGAGAACAACGGCTTCATGAGGACGAACCGTGGTTTTAACGGCTCCTGAACTTTATGATAGTCGACATTTTATCACCATTTTATCACATATCCTGTTTCTACCAACTAATATCAACTGTATGAAAGTTTTTTTCGCGATATCAAAATAAATAGGTTGTCATAGTGGTAATATGTGTCAGGATGGCCGAGCGGTCTAAGGCGCTGCGTTCAGGTCGCAGTCTCCCCTGGAGGCGTGGGTTCGAATCCCACTTCTGACAATATTCTTTTCTCATCGGCTTCACTTGTGTAGGGCTGAGTGCTGCCATTAAATCACAGGTCGTCAGTCCAGCTTTCTCCTTAATCGCAATGGCTCCTTTCTAAAATTAAAGTCACAGAATAACTGTGTTATCAGCACAACTATACCCCTGCCTTAATTTATTTACACATTTCAGTTTTAAAGGCCTTTCTCAAAACAACACTCAGCTCACAGTTGCATGATGGTTCACAATCACCAACAGAAACTCATCAAATCAAAGGCACCCCAGCAAGTTCCTACAACTTCTATTAGGGATGCACGATATTAGATTTTTTTTTGCGAATATATGCCATTATATAACAACTGCTTTGACCGATACTGATATCGATATATACACTTTTTTCCCCCCAACTAATTTTAGTGATCTTCTGTAATGGATTATGCATGCTTACTCTTATCATGATGGCACACCAGCAGATGGAGAAATGAAATACAATATTCATATTCATTCATTCATTGTGTAATATTGTGTATAAGAAAAAGCATGTTGGCCAGTTCTAAGCTGATATCGGCCGATACCGATGACATGCCAATAATACTGTGCACCCCTAATTCCCATGATACCTGAGTGACAGAAATGTCAACCTTTTTTGAATAAATCAATACATAGGTACACAAGTGTGTGCAGGAATCACAATTTTTCATTGAGTTGATTCCCTGCACCACTTAATAAGCAGGAGGTGTGGCGTTGTCTTCGACTCCCACTTCCAAAATTCTCCATCTTTCCACGACCAGTCAAGCTGTCAATCTTTACCATCTTCAAAGGGTTCGTTTAGGATTTTTGAAGTGGGGTCACATGAGGTACTTAGAGGTTATAGTACCTGTCCATGTATGTGTGTCAGTGTGTGAGTGTGTGTCGTTGCCTTCAGCAACCACTGTGTGTTTTGTGTAAAAGAAATTAAAGGCCTGTTCCATATAGACGCCCTTTAACACAGCTCACTGGCAGGCCTCGAAAAACCATCTAGTGGGCTGCGGCGGTACTGCATGTTGGTTAGATGAAATAAAAACAATAATTACAAAACTAGTTGTTCCTATCACAAAAGTAGTTATTTTTTAAATCTAAATATGTTCAACACTTTTAATAAATTAAAAAACGTCTAATTAAAATACATAATTTCAATGGTAAGTTAGTCTTAAGATAATTATCAATTATCTTAAATCTTTATGGAAAGGTCCTTACCTGCAGATTTGTAGCTGTGTCATTCATTTTTGTAGTTTGTGCTCCTACAGTCTGTGTTGAAGTATCCCTGGGCAAGAAACTGAACCCCTGCTTTCTCCTGATGGCTGTTGGTGTGAGGATTGTTTGTAATGACGTGGTGTAAAAGAACCATGAGTGATTGGAAGACTAGAGAGAAAGTCCATTTACTAGTTACAGTGCATGTCATTGGACTAATCTCTATGGAAAGACCCTTAGTTTGCACATTTGTAGCAGTGTCATTAACATTTCTTCTTGTATGTTTCACTTAAATGATCAGTAATGTTAGATAATTATGCAGTTTCACATCTACAGAGGGCGAATCTCCTGCAACAAAATGCTCTTTCTGGAATGTAAAATGGTGCTTACAAAGGATAAACTCAGCTGCTGGAGATATTGCTGGGTTAAATTTTGCAACCAAGCCCTAATCGAAGCCAGAAGTCGTAGAAGATGCCAAATGCTATGTGTCAGGGTGAGTTACTAGGACAGTTTTACAAAGTTTTATTCCCATTTAGGGCTACAGTTGCAACAATACAAAATGGTGTCTTAGATTTGTATATTTCTCTTCGTGTAAGTGTAACACAGCTTCAGTTACACCTGTGAAAAATGGGAGCAAAAACAAAAGTGTTGCATGTAAATTTGTGTCAAGTTGGTTACACAACACCACTTTCTCGGGTGAAAGTCCTGTTTGTTAGACCACTCCCAACCGCCCCACTCTGACATTCGCTGCCTTAGGGCCATTTCATAGTCGACGGATGCAATGCGAGCAAGCGACGCGAGCAACACACTTCCTTTCATAGTCAACACATTGAACACAAACAGTACATCGCTCACACAATAGGGGGTAGCAGAGTAATCGGTACATTCCAGCTAGCTAGTACTGCTGTAGCTAGCTAGTACTGCTATTTTATTAGAGTGCAGGGCACTAGAACTGTCATATAAATGGAGGTGTGCCCGTACTAGTTCACAAAGTTTATCCTCCTCGCCCGCCAGATTTTATACCTGCTTCTTCTGTGAATAACAAAAAGTGGTTGATTTCAAGTACATCACTTGCATTATCATCCACGCTGGCAACGCATGATATTACATGCGTCGCTGCGTCGCGTATCTAAAAAATGGACGACACATTTTGAGACACAAGCACGCATCATGGCGGCCAATGCGTTTCGATGCGTCCCAATGCATTCGCGTCTGCGTGCCTTTGCGTCGACTATGAAACGGCCCTTAAGTTTCGTCCTTGTCCCGCTGTGTTTCCCCCTGACACCGCTAGGCACTGTTAAACTAAACATTTCGAAGACTTGGGAGTGAGACCAGGCTCCAGGGAGTGAGGTGGAGGGACTGCGGGGTGTGGTAGCTAGCTAGTTCTTGTCTCTTTGTGGCCTGATACACACAGAGAGAACTGAACAGTGAGTTAAGATAAATAAATCAATTTATAAAAAAACGCTGTTACTGTATGAAGTGTGAGCATGTGCTTGTGTTCGTCTGATGGGAGGGGCTTAGGACAGAGAGAGGAGAGCTAGGTGTGTTTTTAAATTCGGTCAAGTTCTGCCTACCCCAGCTTTAAACCTGTCCCCAGTGTTATTTATATGTGAGAGACGGCCTGGTTGAGTCTGTATTGAATCATTCTTGTTTTTAATGTTTTGGCACTTCCTGACGGAGGCCGCCCTGTTTCACACAATCTGCACATGAAAGAAAATAAAGACGACTGTTTGTCTGTTTCATGCAATAGTTAATGACACAAACACAAACATCCAGAACTCACAGCACAGCACAGTTTACTTGCTAGTTATTTTATACAAACAGTAGAAAGAGGGTTCTGTATCTGAAGGAGACAAACTGCATCACATTTGCCGGATAGATGTTGATACATAGAGATCAGATTTTTCAGACAGGTAAAGAAGAATCACAGAATCGAATGTTTCAAACATCCCATTTAAAAAAGCTTTCACTAACCTGTTGGTGTAAAAACAAAAGAGAGCTGTTGCACGTACAGTTATAGAAAGATATCTAGGTGATAGGTAAAGTTGAAATAAACATAAACAACTTAAAAAACATTCCAATAATCAGGTGGCGTCTAGTGGTAGGCGTATTTTAGTTTGCTGTCCTACGTTGCTCTGCCCACCCACAAACCATTTAACAGAGGAAGTCCCAAAAAGAACCACAAAATATTTTTATTCTCACTTTATCTATTTTTTTTGTTTTGTACACATCACAACCTGAAGACTTGGTAGGTTGACTGGTTGTCCGTCACGTCTCTGGGTTATCATCACACATCATCATCATCATCATCATCACCCCTTTAGTGTCATCTAAAAGCACAGACCCCTTCAACATGCTGCAACACCCCTCAACAAATCACAATCACAACCCCTTTAATGGTTACATGTAAACTCTGTGGGTTTTAATTTTCGCACTCGTTACGTGCCGTTCGACAAAGGGGGGGCAATAATCACCGTGCCCTCCTACTAGAAGATTTCTACGTATTTTGAACGTCCACGTTCAAAGTCCCACACGGAGCAGACTGCTGAAGGGCCATACCGAGTTTACAGGATGGCACAGAAGAACTTCTTCTCCCTGAACGGGTTCTCTGACGCTGGCACGGGCGATAACAGAGGGTCCTCTTTGGCATGAGCTTCACAGTATGACATCAGGTCCGCTGCTGCTTTTGACACCTGTGATTAAACAGAAACACATATACAACATGTCAGTGTACAATGATAAAGATAAAGAAGTTTGGGGAAATGTTCACTTGTTTTCTCAGAGTTAGATAAGAGGATTGACCACTCTCATGACTGTATGGTAAATATGTAGCTGGACCTGGACCCTATTTTCCCATGTTCTTCTGTCTCAGTGACTAATGGAGACCACAGTTTTTCAAATTAGTCCATGATTGAGCAGGACAGCAGCGAGACAGGCTGTAATGAAGTTCTTGTGGGCAATTGACCTCTCGCTAAGCCCCGCCCCTTTGTGATGGTCCGACAAGCTGTCAGAGTAAGCATGGAGCCCACACTGTACCAAACTGCACTCCCTGAAGAAACATTATCATATTTTTGGAAAAATGAAACAGTGATTCCAGAGAGAAGCAGACAGAGGGGTCTACAGTGTGTGTTTGAAGGATATATCCAGGATGTCAAACTGACTCAGCAGCAACAACAGGTTAAAAAGACAAAGATAGTTAGAAGCTAAAGCTGAACTCTAGGCTACAGATCACAGTGTAAAAGTGAACCACCACATCACTGCTGATCGCCACACAAGACAATGAATATAAAGGGAAACTTTGCTGATACTGAACCAGTTGTGTGGCATCACAGTGTGTGCAGATGAACGATGTTTGGCTTCACCCTGTGCTGCTCCCAGCAAGTCAAACAATGTTCATCTTCATGACACACAGCTGGTTGACTATCAGCAAAGTTTCCCTGCTTCCCTTCACTGGTTCCTGTGGAAGCCCATTTCTGCCACTTGATGGAAAAAAAAATAAGATCTAATAACTCAAAATAATGACTTGCTAAGTCAAAATAATGAGATACTAAGTCAAAATAATGACTTGCTAAGTCAAAATAATGCGATACTAAGTCAAAATAATGACTTACTAAGTCAAAATTATGAGATACTAAGTCAAAATAATCACTTGCTAAGTCAGAATAATGATACTATGTCAAAATTATGAGATACTAAGTCAAAATAATGACTTGATAAGTCAAAATAATGAGATACTAAGTCAAAATAAGGATACTAAGTCAAAAATAATGAGATACTAAGTCAAAATTATGATACTAAGTCAAAAATAATGAGATACTAAGTCAAAATTATGACTTACTAAGTCAAAATAATGAGATGCTACGTCAAAATAATGACTTACTAAGTCAAAATAATGAGATACTAAGTCAAAATTATGACTTACTAAGTCAAAATAATGAGATACCAAGTGCAATAATGAGGTGAATGAGTACAGTTACAGCCTTCGACAATCCATACTCTTCATCTCTCAGTCACGATGGATAACATCATTGAGGGATACTAACTCAAAACAGTGAGGTAATAACTCATGTACATCGGATATGCCACACACTACACTTTGATGTGACGTATGGGGTATGTTTGGCTACTTAAGTAGTCTACAAATTACAAAATGTAGTAAAACAGTGTTGATTTTAAGTGTTCTGTTTGGCTAAGACAAAAAGTTAATTATACAACAGTTAGTTCCGACCGAGTAATTTGACTGGACGAGAAGCATTCCGTGAGTGCTGATATAGAGTATAACATCACTGGGACTTGTAACAGTAAAATCACTCTGCTTACAGGTGTTAAAAATATAAACACAACTGTTAATTAACCAACTGTCACACTCGCTACACTGACACAAACTGACACTAGCGTTACACCAAGAAGATGGATATTTTCCCCAAAATTACATTTGAATTAAATTATGAGTGGTCGTCAGGAGAGCCAGGAGTCTTCTGTGCAGACCTCCAGGCAGGGGCGTCGTTTCAGCAAAAGCTAAGGTATGACAATATGACATGACGTCACAGAGCTACTGATGATGGAGTTTCAAAAATATGAACTTATATAAACCTTCACTTTGGTCTTTGATCTGTCAGAAGTACATACTATGCTATTGAAAACTGTTTCAAAGGACATGAAGCTGTTTTTCACATTCATAATACCTCATGTCTGCATGTAATGCACGACTTGGTGAGAGCAGTGAAAACATCAGACCTATTTTGGCGCATATTTCAGCACCACAGACGTTTAATTATCATTAGTCATGTGTTTAACTTCAAAGAAAATAAAGAAAATAAATTAATTACAAGCTCATTTCTAGAAGATAACCAAGGGGTCCGGTGTATGAAACACAATAAAACAAAGGCCAATTTGGTACAATACTGTATAGGCGAATTTATTGGAGTGTCTCCAGAGACCGAAAATACAAGCTTAACATGCCGACATGAAGGACAAAAACCCGCATACAATCAGACAGGCTTCAAGACATCATTTAGACAGGCTGTCTACAGCAGCAGAGCAAAATGCTTTTACAACACATAGATACCGTATTTTTCCAAATAGTAGCCCGGGCGTTTATTTCACAAAATCGATTTTGACCCCAGGCGTTTAAAAGAACCAGGGGCTATTTGCTCAAGGCCTTGGTTTTTTTTTTTTCTTGTTTTTTTTTCGCACCAACCTGCACCAGGCCGTTATTTGGTTACAGTTCCTGTCCAGTATGTTTTTTAGTGCAAAAATACTGTATAATGTATGGGTGAGTTCATGTACAAAAATCTCTAAACATTTAGAGTGGTTCATTTTTTTCGTGTACACGGGTTTCACCGCTGGGTGGTGCTATTGCATTATACCAGTAAAGCCCCAGTTATCCGAATACCAACCGAACGGGCCATTTAACCAACAGTTACAGGCCGCCACATCGAAATATCGCCATCCCGACGGTCTGCCATCCCGAATTCTGGTCCCTGAGTCCTGACAGTAAGCTATGGCAAGCCTGTAGAAGCTGTATTCCCCATGCCTGTCAGCAATTTTCACCGGGGACGCACATGAGTAATTCAGGCTGATATTACCTGTTTTTCAGCGAACTCTTCTGGTAATTTTGTTAAAAGGCATGGCATATAGGTCCACAGTAACTTATCATCATTATTATTATTATTATTATTATTATTATTATTATTGGGTCTTATAAGAGTGGGCTATAATGAGTACCGGGCCATCAAATCACAGCATCTGCGGAGAGAGGACACGGAACTGTGTGCGCTTTCACGCACGTGGGTCAAGGCGATCACGGATATTTGATGTGGGAAAGATGTAGCCAGATGTATTACCTGTTTTAGATAAGTGGCTGTCTGTCCGTCCGTCCATCTGTCCATAGCACGAGTCATGTGCACCACTTCACCACCGACCCGTGTGTAAAAGTGCAAACAGTCCCTCAAGGAGGGACAGCCATAAGGCAATGAATGAGGAAATAATCGCCCGGGCGTTTAATCGGGCCGGCGTTTAATACGCAAAATGGGGTCAAACCCCCGGCAGCTATTAGGTGCCCGGCGGCTATTTGTGACCGGGCAACTATTTGGAAATATATGGTAACTCACATAACTCATAACTCGCGGAGGAGTGGCGAACAATTTGATTCAATAACACTTGTATTCACTAACACTCGTATTCACTGATGAGCATATTATTGACCTATTTAAGTGCAACTTAAACTAACTGTTGTATAATTAACTTTATGTCTTAGCCAAACAGAACACTTAAAATCAACACTGTTTTACTACATTTTGTAATTTGTAGACTACTTAAGTAGCCAAACATACCCCATACGTCACATCAAAGTGTAGTGTGTGGCATATCCGATGTACATGAGTTATTACCTCACTGTTTTGAGTTAGTATCCCTCAATGACGTTATCCATCGTGACTGAGAGATGAAGAGTATGGATTGTCGAAGGCTGTAACTGTACTCATTCACCTCATTATTGCACTTGATATCTCATTATTTTGACTTAGTATCTCATTATTTTGACTTAGCAAGTCATTATTTTGACTTAGTGAGTCATAATTTTGACTTAGTATCTCATTATTTTGACTTAGTAAGTCATTATTTTTGACTTAGTAAGTCATAATTTTGACGTAGTATCTCATTATTTTGACTTAGCAAGTCATTATTTTGACTTAGTATCTCATTATTTTGACTTAGCAAGTCATTATTTTGACTTAGTATCTCATAATTTTGACTTAGTATAGTCATTATTTTGACTTAGTAAGTCATTATTTTGAGTTAATAGATCTTATTTTTTTCCATCGAGTGGCGGAAATGGGCTTCCATAGGTTTCTGTACAGCAGGGTTGGTCTTTTTTTCACTGTTATAATCATTAAAAAGCAAAAGCAGCATGTGTATACATTCAGTAGGCTATATCTTCAGTAGCTAGCTAGCTAACCCTACACTTTTCAGGGTTTGATTTTGGTTTTAGAACAGGGAAGAAACGTATATCTTTTTCCAACCTCTCCAGGTAACAAGTATCATTAATACACAACGTGCCCCAGGCACAACATTTAGCTCCAAATCCACAAAACCAGCCTGAAAATGAGGGAAATGTGAAACGACTGCATTAGAGTCAATGGAGCACAGCTGTGTTGTTGTCGGACCCTGGTCTGAGCCGGCCTGATGCTACATTATGATTGGCCAGTCTGCGTCTGACGTTTTTTGTGAGTTTTATTTTTGCTCCTGTTGATTTTGAAGTCTGTTTTATGATGATAAAATCACTGTTAATTCAAATGGAGTCTGGTAGGTTTGGTGATGGTCATTTCACAGCTGTTTCTGGTTAAACAAAAAGGATCTTACTCTTTAACACAAAGGTCCATCTCTGTAGGGATCCTTTCCATAATGTTGTCAGACACTTAAAATAATAATCTGAGTCTGTTAGTGGCAAACACACTTTTAGTGGATGTAAACTGATGATGTGAACAAGCCCTAACTGGTTACACTGCAGCCTGTTTTGCTGTTGCTGGCTGCATTGCTCTCACTCAACACTGGACAAGTTTTGAAACTTATTGTTCCCATTAGTCACACTTAGACACAAAAAGTGGGAAATTAGAGTCCAGGCTGAAAAACACCAAAGTTACCCATTGAAATCAAACAGAGTCAGGTAGACTGTTCCACCAATCTGCACACTAAGATAAGCTAAACACATATTTAACCAACAAACATTTATGTACCTCGTTTTAAAAACATTTACCTGTGTGAAGGTTCAGGTGTCTGACACGTCATCATTGATAAAGCACAAGTGTGACTAATAACAGTACATAAAGGTGTGTCCCTTCTCTAGAAGATTGATAACACTCTCATGTGCTTACCAACTAAAAGCAGAGGGAAACAGCTGACCTGGCTCTATCCAAAGGTAACAACACACACCTACCAATACATCTGACGCTCACTCATTAACATGTTTTATCTTGTTTCTTTAGTTCATGAATAAACAGAAAAGTGGAGGGGTTACATGCTGTAACTGTTTCCTTCTGCTTCCAGTCTTAATGCTGAGCTAGGCTAGTCACACCCCACTCAGAGTGAGATTCAGATTCTGTATACAATATTAATAGTTCAACACAAATTACACATTTAAACAGCTCCCAAATACAAAAAAAATGTCCCCTGGGATCTATATAAATCAACAGATTAGTAAAATCCTAAATGATTAAGTTGTTTTTTTTCCACCTGGACCTTTATGCTCTGCCATTTCTCCTCTAATCATCACACTGTAACCTGTGACAGGCTGTTATGATACCACAACGACACCAACTCCTGTGTGCACGGCGAGAGAGGAGAGGGAGAGACGCTGTGCTGCTGCCAGAGGAGCCGCTGAATGAGTTCCCTCTGAGCGTAAAGTCACTAAAAGAGTCCGGGGCTGTTCATAAAACATTCAGGACACCACTGATGATCAGATTTTGATCCTCTGCCTGACCCTCCTGCGTCCCAGGCTATTCATCTAAAAGGTCTAGGTTATCTAATTGTTGTATATCATCATGCTATCATTAATATAAGCAGAGGACTTTAATCCAAAGTGGTAACCACTGTAAGTGAACGCATGAATGGGTCGGACCTGCAGCACTGGATCTGAACTGAACCGCAATGAAGTGGAGCCTCTGAGCTTTGATCACCTGCTGTGACACAACATGACCCTCATCCATTTATAATGCCCATTAGCTCCTCTGAGGTCATTTTTCTTAAAATAGTAGTGTAATAAGTAACTTGCCTGACATTGGCTGCAGTATCTCAGTAAAGTTCAAGGAAGTTGATTCTACTGCTGAACAGGCACAAACAGAAACCCAAAATCCACCAGCAAAGTCGGTTCCTCAGTGACGTGTGTCTGCTCACCTTTATCCTGTCGATGTTCGCCTCCATCTTCAGCTGCTCCACCAGCTTCCTGGCTTGTGCGATGCTGGCCGTGTTATTGCTTGCCATGGGCGCTGTCAGTCAGGTCTCGTGTGCTCTGCCTGCACAGAAGACGACACAGAGATTCAAACATCCCGAACACTGTAGTTGACCCACGGCGTGCCGCTGATGAAGACCAGCGCTATAATATAGCAGGCATGCAAAGAGGAGCGCTAGTAACAGATACCCTGTTGATTATCACATGCCTGTGAACACACACACACACACACATACCACAGACACAGGCATATTATTTATGGTGTCTGTTGCTAGGCAGCCCAAGACAGTGAGGGGGAGGAGGGGACTGTGGGAGAAGAGTGAGGGGGCAGTGCTTTGTCCAGCACCGTATTTAAAACAGATAAACAGATAACGAACATGACTGCTTTCAGAAGAAAAGAAAAACTCTAAATGCTGCTCTGGTAATGGTGAGTTTCTTCGAGCCTGCTCATACTGGTCATCATTTCTTAGTCACTGTGTCACAAGAGCACAGTGTCCTCCCTCTGCATCATGTGAAGGACGATAAATCAATGAATTGATTGTCTTTGATCTGAGGTGAGACAGGTCACCTCACAGGCAGCAGATGGTACAAGGCCTCAAACATGCTTCATCTGCAGTTCTGTTCCTGTTACTGTGAAACACACACAGCTTTACTGTGGTGGAAAGTAACTAAGTACATTTATCACAGCACTGCAGTAAAATTATTCTAATATTAAAATTATAGTCAAATATTTAAATGCTAAAATTCAGCCCATTATTAATATTTACACAGGCTTGTGCATTGCCAGTACCTCTATCAGTATGTGGTTGTTGTACGTGGTGTCCACTAGGGGGCATTCTAACATCAATGATAACCATTTAGAATAAACAGGTGATAAAATGCGCAGCGCGTCTGAGATCAGAGCTGCCATACAGGGATGTGGGAGAGGTTAGCCTTCAGTCTTTTCAATTTAACCCAAAAACCATAATCTTTAATCTAAACCTGACCAAGAGGGGACTTTCTGTGAGCGAACTTCCCCCAACAGCACCCAGTCAGAAACAGAGCTAAAAGAGCTAACAGGACGGCTAACGGCAACAGTAGCTGTTTTCAACTAAAAAACAATTGATACATGGTCACAGAAGACGGTCAGTGTTGGACTTATTATTTTAAATTTCCAAGTCTCCAAAAAAGACACAGCAGTTCACAGCTGGATTACAAAGCATCTGAAAGCGACACAGTCACACCGGAGCAGCATGACAGTTGGCTTCTGGGGGATGCCAAGTGAAAACAAGATGGCAGCCATCTCTGCCAAGTCAGTCTGCAGCTGATCTCGACACAACAGTGGACAAGGTCCAAAACCTGATCACATTTAATGGTTGAAACTTGTTTATTTATGATTAATAAATATGACCAATTTCAGCAACAGTAACAAGCTAAGACAGACAGGAAGTACTTGTTTGAGGACATTAGGACTTTATTAGTGCTGACAATGTTTAGTTTTTTACACTTATCAGGTCCTACTGATCCCAAATACCTGGGAGGAATTAAAAAAGTAAACCAAACAAAAATTCGGGTCTCAGGAGCATATGCTGTTTATTACATGCACTTCTGTCTTTTAGTCGTACACACAGTCCCGTCCAACTTCTATCTGCACAGTTCCTGGCTATGACCTCTGACTTCAATTGAGTATTGAGTGTAATTTTAAAGTACTTGTACTTTGCTTGTGTAATTTCACTTTCTGCTACTTTAAACTTCTACTTTTCAGAGGGACATATTAAACATTTAACTTCACTATATTGATTTAAACTTATCCCTTTCATGTATGAATTATTACGACCTCAGTCAAGATTTATTTTATTCCTCTTTTTAAACATGCATTTCTCAAGGAGTTTTTCACATGCCCACTCTGGCGGACAGCAAGCCTTGCAATTTAAAAATAAAAAATAAAAATATATACATTATGTATATGAGACATAAAAGAAATTTAATGCTGTTTAACTAGTGTGTTCAGTTTTTAACAAACTAACAAAAACTGTACATTACCTTCTAAAAACACAAATCAATTGATTTACAGCCAAAAAAGTCACTGCAGATGAAGTATTTTCAAGAACAACAAAGTTGCAGTGATAGTACTGATTGTAGTTGAAATATATCCAGCGATACATGATGCCCACTTTAGTGGACAGATGATTAATTTTAATTTCCTCACAACATATAATCAATATTTAGAAAATTAAACAACTCTATAACTCCTTAGATGCTACTTGATTGTTACAGATTTTATTTACCTGCCAGGATCTCCTATTATAAAAGCACTGGCAAGATATTCTTGAGCTGCACAACGTTTCTTGCATTCTGTCAGCCATCTTGGTTTTGAGAGATTTGTGTTGCACTGACAACACCTGGCCAGTGGGTGGCAGTGTATGGCATGTATGGCATGACGCACTAGGGTCCACTGTAGTGCCTTAAAACCCAGGCAGATACAAGAAAATGGCTTTTAAATAGCTGTCCATGACACGTGAAAGGGTTGAGTTACTTTGCATATTAAGATTATGAATAAATATAATAAAATATAATTCAACTAATAAACTACAGACTACAGTACTCACCAGCTGCAACATTAAAGTGATGTATACATTAATGCATCAATAATTAAAATCCAAAACCTAATACATATCATTTAAAATGATTTTGCAGAGCCTGTACATTTATTTTTAATAGTATATAAAGTATAACTTGATGAGGGATGCCACAGTGAGGATGTTTTCCCACCAGATAATGAACTAGTGACAACACCGGAGTGACTGATCACAGCAGACATTTTACAAGACAAGATATTCATCGATGATGCTCAGTATCTGCAGAGCGCTGTATTAAGTTACTGCTAATGCAAACTGAACATTTCCTACTGCTGCAGCTTCTCATTAAAAGCATTTAATGGCGAAATACGAGTTTACTTTTATCATGAAGAAGTTGAAAAGGAGTCAAAAATGTGTCAAAACAAGACACCTTCCATTTTCAGCACTCAGTCGATCAGTTTGCGTTTCATATGTTTCTTTTATCCAGGTTCTTCCTTAAATTTTTCACCTGCACAGTTTTTAGGCCCGTGTCCTCAGATGCTCCCGTGTCTTTTATAACCTCTTTGATTAAATGGATCAAGCTGTGGGTGCTTTAAAACAGCGTCCTCCTTGGTGTGTGATCAATCTCCCCCCTCCGTCCTCCGTCTGTATGCACTGTGGTATGACTCAGTGTGGGGTTAAGACTGATCTCAGCGAGGTGCTGCAGCTCAGCATGAATATTGATGGTCCACGGTGGCACACCTGCTCATCGAGCCAGTGAACTGGCGCTGTCACACCAGCCCCGACCCCGATGACCTGATCATCAATTAAAACCTGCGCAGGGTCACTGCTTACAGCTTTTTTGTTTCACATGGTAATTAGATTTATTAGTGTCTGACTGCTCGCAAGAGTGTCTGTGAACACGTGTACTAGCTGAATCTGACAAAATGAGAAAACATACCTGTTTTTTTGTCTCTATTTTATCTTTTTTTCCCTCTGCTCTCTTTACTTGTACCCTTGCAACCTGCCAGAACAGCAGCTTTGGGTCACTGATGCACTACAGTTAATTAAAAGTGATTAATACTGGGAATTCCACAAGCAGTTAGTCGTTTGATTTTTATTTATTTTATCGAACCAACAGCGTAAACTTATAAATCTTAACATTTAACATTAATGGGTTTACACTATTGCTTCACATTACATTTAGTAAGCTAGAGCTAGATCATTTTGTTTGATAAAAGACAGCTACATCCCTTCTTATCATCACTACCTCACTGGGCTTACTGAGAATGACCACATTTACAGTGAGAGATTTTGTCCATGTTGTACTCAAAACAAAAGGGATAATAGATGTGGAGAGTTTCTACCTCATAGACTTGTATATAATCCCTGTCAGTTTAAGAGTCACTGGAAACAGTTTTAAACAAACGTTCAAGTGAAATTCCACAATTTTAACTTTATTCACACATTTTTAGGACGGACACATTTCCTCTGAACCGGGCTGGAAAAACTCGACCCGGTGTCAGAGCAAACCAAACGACAATCTGAAGAGGATTTATGAGCTCAACGTGCTGCAGACTGCCCAGTATTAACAGTGTAACATAAACACTGTGTTTTATAGACACTGCAGCTGACGGATCCTGGATGTTCTCACTCTGAGGACTGTGTAACCTTTTAGGGTGTTTGAATTCAGGTGGGAATTAAAAAAACAAAACCTTTTTTGTTGCAATGAAATCAGTTGGAATAGAAAAGTAGGTGGTAAGCCCCGTCTTTACAAAGGAAATAATCACTATATACAGTTGTTGTTGTTTTTTTTAATAATTGAACATTTTACGATTTTTTTTTCCTGATATTTTTTTTCATTCTTAAAAAAAGGCAAAAAAAAATAAATAAATAAATAAAATAAAAATTAAACTTAAAAAAGTGGATATTTTCTGAATATTTTTTTGAAGTTTTTACTAATATCTTTTAATTAATATTTTTTAAAACTTTTTGGACATTTTCTTAAATTTTTGTAAATTTTACTAAAAACGTTTTAGACATTTTACTTTTTAAAAAAAACTTCTTTTTTTTACATTTTACTAGTATTTTTAAACTTTTCTGATATTTTACCAAAATATTTTTATTTTACTTACGTTTTTTTTTTTTTTTTTTTACTTTTTTTTCCCCGAACATTTTACTGCCATTTTTCAGAATTTCTGACATTTTACTGCCATTTTTCAAAAATCTTACTAAAAAATTTGCTTTTTTTTCCCCGTGAAATTGTACTGATTCTTTATGGATAAGATTAGATTAGATTAGACAGAACTTTATTAATCCCTTGGGAAGACTCCCTCAGGGAAATTAAGATTCCAGCAGCATTGGATAGCAGCACACAGGGTGAAGAGCACACATGGTATCAAAAAGTAAAAAGTAAAAACAATTTGCAAAATATAAATATAAGATATACAGAAAATAAATGAATATTCCTTATTATATTCCTTATTGCAGAGGCTACTGGCTTCTGGTTACTGCTCGCTTTTGGACACTTGTAATAATATTTTAAGAGCCATTATAGAAAAAGTAATAAAGAATTTGTTTTAATTTTGTGGGACTCCAGACCGTGTAAACATCTACGGACACCTGGGTCTAACATAATGGTATTTTTGTGGGGTTAATCTGGTGTCCCTCTGTGGAACCAATGCGTCGACAACTTTCCTACAATATCCTGCAATCACAGACAGATTTGTCCAGTACATTGTATTTTATGTCAGGTTAATAATACATGTGTACAATTATCTTGTACACGTTTGTCCTTCACTGAAATAAAAGCAGGCCAGAGATTTACTACAAAGGTGTGACTGACAAGTAGAAATTAGTCTGTGGCGTTCTTTCGTATCGAGGCCATAATATTGTTTCAACACTCAGGGGAGCTGTCAAAACAGGCCAGCGTATATATCACCAGACTATTGATAGGGAGACATGTCACTCTTTAAGGTTTCTGGGATGTCTAAGGAGAAGTAGAGCTCTGTTTTTTACAAAAAACAATCAGACAATGTGACACAATAGCCCAGTTTGAGTGGAAATGATGGGGAGAGATGATGTTCTAAATAAATACCATTAAAGCAGATGGAAAACGGTGTCTCAAGGGGCTGGAAGACGACGAAAGAAATACCCAGTTTTGATTGTGTCCTTGGGAGAGCTAAACTCTTTGGAAATTAAAGACTAGTATTTAAGAGACAATTAATTTCTTCACACTACTTAAAGTCACACGAGCAGCTTTGAGACTGTACTTTAGCATTGAGCTTAATGCTAATGCAAACATGCTAACATGCTTACCATGATGACAGTGACATGCTCATATGTTAGCAGGTGTAATATTTACCATTTTCATCATCTTAGTTTAGCATGTTAGCAGCTAACAGATTAACACTGCCATCCCAAGAGCTGTGAGCATGGATAAAAAGACCAAACCTAAATAACTTTCAGATCTCTGCAGCATCTAAATGACACCTGCATTCATTTTGTGTTTAGGTAACTCATATTTTCACGTGGCTGTGAAAACGCAAAGAAAGGCAGGACATAAAAGATTTAGCAGAGCTGTCACTATGTCTACAAAGTCATTTTCCTGGTTATTGTTGGTGGAGTGTGCGAAAATGCCACCCTGACATTTTCATATCTGGAGAGGGAGGGGTGAGGAGATGGTTGCATGTGGAGGACGTCCATGCATGTGTCGACTCCTGGAAGAATAGCTGCTACCTTAAAGGCTACTGAAAGTGAACAATAAAGACAGCAGATTGTTTCCTGTCTTGTCTTTTAGCTCCGGGAGCTTTTCTGATTGTCATGTTTTCTGTTATGGGACATAATTTTACTGTTTCTACTCTGCTCATCTGTAAATATGAAACCACGTGTGCTTCCTTCCTATCAGCATCCCAAAATACCACCCTGGGATGCTGCACATAGTGTTAACATACTGATAACTGTGACATACCAACAGGCACTGATAAATATTCAGATGGACACAGGCCTCAACTGTCCACAACTCTGTGGAAGCTGTGATACCACTCATGGTGTAATATTATGAAACTGGCTGATGTTATCATGCTACAGTGCCTCCCCCTTTTTGTCTTAACTTACCTTGTCTGCTAACTCCTCCGCACTCTGCACTGGTGTCTGCCTGCACTTCAGTCAGCACTTTGCGCCCGCCCAACTCTCTGCAAACAGACAAAAGGAGATAAAGAGAGGTCGGAGAGAAGAATGAGAATCAGATGCTGAAGCTTTTTCCATTCCTGCGTTTCTGATAAGTCTGGTGTCCTCTGATCACCGTGTGTCAGAATGTCACAGCTCGCTCCTACAAACTCCACGGAGGAGACACCACAACAAACTACACAGGGAAATGCAAGTTAATCGTAATGAGAGGACAAATTAGGAACAGTTCAACATTTTGAGAAATATGCTGATTGATACCACTCTAATATCTGTCAGCTTAAAATGAAGCTACCAGCAGCAACCAGTTAGCTTACCCGGCATAAAGACTGCAAATCAATGACAGTACATAAAGATGGACAACGCCTCTCCACTTCCTCCGACTGTACAAAAATTAAGCCAAAATATCCCAGATATGGGTGCTGCCATCTTGCACTGATGACATCACTTGGAGTCTGTCGTGATCTTAACGGAATAGTTCGACATTTGCAGATTAATTAACGGCCTTGCCAAGAGTCAGATGAGAAGATCGATACCACTCTCACTCTCTGTCTGTCAAATATGAAGCTACAGTCAGACCTTTTTAATACCACTTTAAATGAAACTTAAGACCAAACTTATAACCACATACAGCGAGAAGCAGCAGCAACCCACCGACTGACACTGGCACACCATTGCCACAGCAAGCAAAGACACCATCTATGGTGATTTGGACTTGACAAGCCAAATGGCTGTACAAACAGGCAATGTGCTTTATGTTCTAAATCATCACCCAGCTTGAGTCGAGCTCAGGCTGGCCAGTTCACACCACTGCAACTTTTCTCTGTAACGTCCTAAAATGGTTTTGTCTCGTCGCGAATCTTTGGTCTGAACTAGGCTTACGGACCAACGGCCACCCTGGTTTAGCTTGCCTTAGCATAAAGCCTGGGTTTTGTACTGGACTATTTCAGGAAGTCATTGCTCTCTGCTAGGAAATAGTCTGGCATATAACAACCCAAAAAACCACAACTTGTCATAGTGTCATGAGTTTTAGAAGTGCTGTTAGGTTACCTTTGGACAGAGCCAGGTTAGCTGTTCTCCAACATTTCCAGTCTTTATGCTAAGCTAAGCTAAGCTAAGCTAAGCTAACCAGCTGCTATAGCTCCATCTTTATATTGAACAGATGAACATGAGTGTTGTCAATCTACTCATTTAACTCTGGCAAATGAGTGTATTTCCCAAAATGTTAAACTATTCCTTTAATTTGAGCTTCTGTAAGTGCCGACCCATTCACCTCTCCTCCTCTTCCTTACTATCCACTCCTCTTCCTCTGGTCCAACAGATTCATTCTTGATGTATCTGTGACTCTGCAGCTTGGTTTTCTGCTGCTTCTGATAAATGGGCCAATTACACTGTATGAGCAGATATGCAGAGGAAGGGAGTTCCACCCATCGTAAATCACGGCAGCGCGCAACGTTAAAGCAACGATACAGTAAGGCATCCATTAACAAAAACCTTGCCAGCAGCGGCCGAAAACCCTGAGCCAGAGGGTTTTAGCAGCATCGAAACTGCTTAGAGTTTAAAAAACAAAGCAAAGAAGAGCAGATCTTAGTGTGCAGTCACCTCTCCTGATTCACTGGAGCCATTAATCTACACTGTTACTCCGTGTAATGCAAGCTGTATAATTACTTTTATCAGGGCAGGGATTCTTTGACTTAGCTGGGGCACTTCACGAGACAAAAGCATCTGTTTTTATACATTTAAATCCTGGGGAGAAGGTTTTAAAAATGTGCCAAAGTCAAATGTCTTAATACAAGCAACCATACCAGGACATTACCTGCCTAAAATAGTCTATAATTAGCAAACTTTTGATTTAAGTCTGATCAAAAAATAAGTACAACGCACCAGATGTTTGCTGCAGCATTTAGTACCTTCAATAAATGATGCTCAGGACACATTTCAGTCAGTGCTAGAAATGCACTAAGACTTCATACTCTCCATTCGGTCTCTTTTGCCAGAGAAACTATAAAATAATCTCCTCATCAATCATGTGGTGAACACTCAGTATATAAAGTTTCATGTCCCAAATGGAAGAGAAATGAAAGCATCTGCTCACATTTTGTTGGCGACTCACATATTACCGCTCCTTTAAAATGTCACCAGAGAGACACTGGAGTCTTCACGAGTCTCACAGACAGTTCATATGTAAACATATCATGAACAACTACACAGGTTTATTGACATTACCTTTCCCGCTGACAGACTGTAAACAGTGAGAGTCACATAACTTGTAACTGTAACACTTACAGTGTCCGGCTCATCACACATCAGAGACACATTTACATCTGGGAGTTTCCAACAAAAGCTACAGTCATCTGCTGTTTGTGTGCTGCTGGTTATACATGTAATAGATAAAGGTTTTATCATTTGAGTTCACACAGTTTGTGCTGAATGGTGAAAGGACTCTTGCTCTCGCTTTTTACTATAAAACACTTTATATTAAAGCTAACAGTTTTACAGGACATGTTGCTGTGTTTTAGAAACAAATGCGATTTGTGTTCAAAGCCCATCAAATGCACTGTTTGTACATATACCTACGAAAAGCAATACACCACAATTCCTATATAACACGTCATCATGAGCCAGTCATTTGTGTAAAACCAATGTAATCCAGACGTCTGTGAGCAAGTGACCAACGAGCTGACAGGTATAAAGAAGGAAGTAGTACAAAGAGTGAAAGTCTGCCAAAGGTTGGGGTTGAAGGATGGGTCATAGACACAAGAGTTGCCCCCAGGAGCATTCTGTTCATGTCTCGTGTGAAACTTTGAGTTATCTTAAGGTACGTCATCCCCTGGTTTCTTTTCCTGAACCTAACCTACATAACTTTACTTGCCTAAACCTAGCCTACATAACTCGTAATGTGACGACGCCATTCGTGGGGCGCTAATTTCTTGAATATCATATGAAGTGTCGTGCATTTTCATAAAATATCATACAAACCGTTGTATTAGGATACGATGATGTGAAAGACGTCACTCAACTCTGCAGTTCCTCTCAACTCTACAAGGTATTTCGGTGTCTTTTAGCCATTGTTTTGGTTTTACAACCTAAAATTATTGTTTTGGTTCATTAAACTCAAACAACCCACTGTTCTACCTGCTCAAGAAAGGCCCCCAGGAACACCGTTTAGCCTTGCTTACAATTTTCCCAGTGGCCACTCACAGTACTGCAACAATGAATTCCCCTGGGGCTCAAAAAGCATTTCCTCATCGACTACCTTTTATAAAAGAAGCGTCTGTAAAACTGTTAACAGGAGACCTCGAACTGCAAACAAGGTAAATTATGGCTCTTTCTGTTATGATTTTTTGATCCATGCAGGTTTTATATTTGTAAAACTTTCCTTAAGCTGACCTGAAGAGGTGATGAAGAGCCTGACATTTTTGATGGGAGTGGGTGGAGACCAAAAACAGAGCTGAAAGAGAGAGCATATTGGCACCAGGTGGCCAGAAAACGACTCAAAATAAATGATAATGTCAGAGCTTCTTTAACTTGATCAAGGAAGCAATATATCTAGGTTAAGGATTTGGATCTGATTACTGCAGCTGATCCGAGAAGATGGAGCTTTAAAAATGAGTACTGCGATATTTAAAAAGTTGTGTACTGAAGCAGCACCAGAGTGTCAAAGTCCTGATGGCACTCTCACATCTTTCACTGTCTACTTTGTTTTTGTCTCCACTCTTAGATCAGTTGACTGTACACTGCAAAAGAGGGCAAGAACGCCGACTGTTCTTAAAAAATACATTTAAAAAAATGTTGCTGAATTTGATTTCCCTTGGAAGTGTTTGTGTCATCATATTTATGTTGCAGAGCAGCAGTGAGAGACACACAGTGTTAAAACTTATCTTAATGCTTTGGCAATATTGCTCCCTACTTTTATGCCAGTGAAGCATCTTGAACTGAACTGCACTGTAAGACAGAAAAGGTGCATCATGGGACGTGACTGGTGATCCATTTCTCTCCTGTGTTCGAGCCTTCTGCTTCTAATCCCTCCCTCTGTGGCAGACAGGTGTTCGGTGATGGGCCTGAAACACCCCCAGCACGCTCCGTCCTGCTGCTAACACCACCAAATCAATCTGACCCCCTCCGCCATCCTTCCCCTGCCATTTGGAGTCGTTTTTGAACCCCTTCCTCCGGGTTTTCGGGGGGTCTATGTTCGTGACGAGGCCCTCCACAGATGTGATTATAGCTGATGCTCGACTGCGGGTGTCGTTGACTTAAAGGGTGATTAAGCGCCGCAGGAAACATCCTGGTGAGGAAAATATAATTCCTGGCCTGTCGAGAGTGATGATCTCTCATGCACTCCCACACATGCTGACTCTCAGCTCGGCTCTACCCCTTCATCTTTCTGCACACACCTTATCATTGTCTTTTTTTCCCCTACACCATCCAAAGAGATAAATTAAGGCGGCCAGGCAGGGAGTGTTCTGTCCTCTGTGATGCCAAGGGTGTGAAATCAGAGCGTGGTAATTAAAAATCTGTCCCCAGCTCAGCCATCTGGACCCTGGAGAGCCACTGATTAACCTGCGAGGGTCTGCAGGGACGCGAGGAGGCAGGATGGGACCCCTGCTCAGAGATAACAGAGGCTAAGTTTTGAGGGCCACAAAGCCACGCCCCCCTTAGTTACTGTTGCTATGCGTGTCAAGTTTTCAAAGACAATAGTGGCAGATTCACTACTCAAAACTTTTAGCTAGGCGCTCCTTCAGAAAATGCCCGGTGCTTGAGAGCGCTTTGGAGGAGCAACGATTTTCAACTGGGATGTTTCTGTTGCGTCTGGTTGATATGATACGGAATACCTGTGGTAATAAAAATGTTGGCACAAGGTAGAGTACTTGCTCTGGCCCTTGCTCTGGATGTAGGGAAGGCTGAAGGGTGTACGGAGAAAGTACATAACCTGCCAGTCTGTTTGGGTTCATAAGAGGAAACATACATAAACATATATACAGTATATTAACATGAATTCCTCCTCCAT